CGTCGTCCAAAACTTGCAAACGGTCCCCCGCTCCCAGTGACAGTGCAGCTGTCGAAAGGCCCCGCTCCGGCCACACAGCTTCCCCCGCAAAGCCAGGGAGCCCGTGCACGAGACCCTCCGCCGGGGTCAGATCCCCTCGCCATCTGAGCCGACCACGAGAGGGTCACCGAGGCTGGGGGCAACCCGGGGCTGGCGTCTGCGCAGTCCCCCCGCCTCCCCGCCCAGAGGAAAGGACGGGGGTGGGCAGCGACCTGTCCTCCCTCCTCCCGCCCTTGCCCCACCCGGGTCCAGCCCCACGCAGGGTGGCCTGTCGTGCAGGGCGCCGGAGGGGCTGACGACAGGCGGACGGACGTCAGGCGACAGGCCTGGAGGGAGGTGTGGGTCGGGTGACCGGCTGTGCCCAGGTGCCACAGCCACAGCCCGCTTCCCTGGGGGTATGATTATCAACAACAACGACAGCCCTGGTACTGTGCCCGGATCAAAGGACGGGCCCACCTGCGGACTAGCATGATGTCCACGACGGGGATGACGGGCAGGGCGTGGGTGATGTCCAGAGCTGCCCTGGCCGGCTGCAGGGCCCCAGCGCAGGAAGAAGGAGGCTCCAGGGCCGGGGCCGCTGCTGAAGATGCGGGAACGTGGCAGGGTTCGAGCTGAGATCCCCAGGCTGCCTCTCTCCCCATCCTCCACCACTACCCGGTGCTCACTGCTCACTGGTGATGGATTCAGTGTCAGGGCCGGAAACACCGCAGCCGCCAGGTCAGACTCGGAGGCGCCACCCGGCACCTGCTCGGCTGGGCCTGAGAAGTGGCCACAGGTGAGACACCTATCCTTGCCCGCCTGTCCTTCAGCTTCCTTCTCCAGTTCCAGTCCTCCCGGGACTGGGCTTCCAGAACCTGCCCCCCTCCCCTCACACCCCTGCAGAAGTGTCTTCCAATTTGAGAATATAAATATACGCACACATATGAATTTTAAACACGTTATCTATACTAACTATATATTTTAAAGCCGGGTCCAAAGGTTGCCACGTGAGGGCTGCGGTGGAAACAGCCGGCTGATACTCTGTCCTCGCCTGGGCAGGCAGTCCGGCGGCGCAGTCAAGGGTGAAGCCACCTGTCTTGGAACGTGGGCCCCATCCTTCTCGGCACAGGGGCAGCGCGCAGAGGCTGGCGCTCAGGGCTGGTTACAGCGGAATTCCCAGGGCAAAGGGTCACAAGGAGACAAGGGCACTGAGGGTTTTTTCTTTGCCCTTCCTCTAAATCTTAAAAGTCATGTTCTGAATTCTATGGAGTCTTTTGTCTTCTGATTCACAGCAGTTTCATTTACTCCAGAAGTGTCTTGACATCTACAGACAGGTAGGCCTCCAGAGTCCACATTTATTTGAATGGTCTACCTCTCAGGAGTCACCACCACAGCAATTCCTTGGTTTGAAACCCAACCCCAAAGCAGAGAACTAAGTTTTCCTTGACGGACTTAGAGAAACTTCTGGGTTTATAAACTCCCAGCCCCCGTCAGCTCTCCTAAAAAGCAGCAGCGGCCCTTTGCCCCTAAGCAATAGCCCTGACCACACATCCGATAAGGCATTTCTCAGCACACAGGTTTCCAACACTTAGGGGGTGATAGAAGGGATGAAGGAGGAGGGTTAAATAAAATGGCGCGATAGAGACAGAAAGAGAATCTTAAAAATCATTCAGAGTCAGGTATTGACTTCAGACACGTTTATTATAATCTTATACAGTCTACATAAATTTGAACTTGTATTTATTTGGGTTCAGTTATATAACATAGCATAATAAAAATCAAAGCACTGGTCCTCTGAAATAAAGCAGGCAATCACCATTCAATAAACACACTTGATTTATTTTGTATAAAAGGGTTAAGTTTACAACTAAACTTTTATAAAAAGTTTAGCATGAATAAGTACATCATTACACTTTGTATGCAGAAATATACATTTCTGCCACTGTACAAGAAAACTCTAATTAAAGAGTTCACAAGGTTTCACTCAATATATATATATTTATATATAAACATATACACAGCATTCAGTAGGCTTGCGTCAAAAAGGTAATTTCTGACCGAAAGACTTCATTTAAGTAACTGAATACTGGATCCTTCTGGAATTCACGCTCCACCTTTGAAAAAAGGCAAAGTCTGCTTAAATTGGGCAATTCCTTGTGATTTTAACGTTTTCGCTCCCCATGGTGGGAATAGTATATAAAGAAAACCTTCCAACTGCAGAAAGGGCATTTAAAAGTCTTTTTCATAAATAACTAATATCACAGTCCATGTCAGAAAACACCCTGGGGAAGTTGATCATTCTTAGTTTTCCTTCCATTTTTAAAAAAGGTCCCTTTGACTTGTCCTCCTTGGGAAAGGGTTGAAAAGTGAGTTCAGCGCCTTAAAAGAGCCTGTGGAGTTGTTGTTGTTATTGTGCAAAGGAAACAAAAAGTCAGCGCCTGCAAAAGACTGGGAGAGAAGGGGGTGTTAGGAGATTTTAACCTAAGGGCAGAGGCGGCAGACTGGTGCCAGGAGGAAGCCGCAGTCTGAACACTTAACCAAACACTCAAACGTTGGGCAAACCCCGGCGTCCAGATGCAACACACGCACTCGGCCTGGACAGCGCAAATTCAACATTAAAATAGCAAAGACTCGGGGGGAAAAGCTTCCCAACGCCATCTCTTATTTGGATCTCCAACGGCAGTGCTCACAGGCGCCAGTCTGCTTCTTGTAACAATTATTTGATTGAAAACAGCCCTTTCGTTAACAGATAGGGAAGTCGGAATCCCACATCACAGGGTCTGAGGCACAGGGCAGCAATGCTCGGGTTAGCTGAATCCCAGAGGGCTGTTTTTGGGAAGGAGGATCCCTATGGAATTTGCGGCGATAAGATTAATTATATGGAGGTTAGTACCTCATAGTACAAGAGCGATAGCAGAAAACAGCCGGAGTATGTTACATGCCCACAGAAGCCAGTACACATTTGTCTCCACCACCTTCCGAGTAAGTTACTGGCATTATTTGTTTTTTTAAAGGTAAATGTCATGGGATTTTTGAGTAACAGGAGCTAGAGGCCCCTTCATGTCTAGAGTACGTGTAAACAATGTACTACGTGTAATACAACGAAGTACACATTCATTTACCAAGCCAAAAATTTTACAGATACGCAAGTACACACGCGCGCGCGCGCGCACACACACTCCAAGCGCCAGTTCAACGCGAGGCACAAGCGAACACTCACCATTTATTCAGCCACAGAGCGCTTTGCTGTCATTTGACATTAACTCAGAAGGGAATTCAGAAGCCTGCGAGAAAGGAGATAAGAGGCACAACGTTAGACAATCTTAAGGAGAAAGGGCCTTTTTTTAAAACAGCTTTTTTTAAAAACAGCAAGTCCCAATAAATACGTTAATGCTACATTCAGACTCAAAGACAGATGCATTAACAGGTCAGAACTTACCAGTAATTTCACGCACGACTCAATCTACATCATATTTGTAAATAATAATAATAAAGTTATTAGTTCATCTGTAAGTCACCGACTACGGCAGTCCGTCTGGACAATGGCTCTGCCAGGGGCAGCCCAGGCATCGCTGGGGGTGCGCGGCAGCGAGCGGGGCATCGGGAGCAGGTCTTACCTGAAAGGACAGGATGCTGATGTCCGTGTTTAGGGTGGTCAGCGGCGTCCTGGACGCCTGGCTCTGCCCGGGCCGCTGGTGGTGCAGGCTGACAATAGTGGGGTGCGAGTCCAGGGCGATCTGCAGGTCCAAGATGTAGTCGATGACGTGCTGCAGGATTTCCATCTTGCTCACCTTCTTGTTCTGGGGGATGCTGGGCACCAGCTCCTTGAGCTTGGAGTAGCAGTCGTTCATGTTATACAGCAGGCTCATCGGGTCGTCCACCGGGGTTTTGCTCCGGGAGATGCCCAGGCTGTGGTCCGAAAGGCTGTTTTTCCTAACGGACCTCACTGGACTGAAGGCTTTCATGCTGATCGCGGGGAATGAGAGACCGGGAGGAGGGAGCGGGCTGCCCCGGAGCTCAGTCCGCCGCCGCCGCCGCCGTCGCCGTCGTCGTCGCCGCCGCCGCCGCCGCCGCCGCCGCCGCCTGCGGAGTTACCTGCCCTCGGCACCGGGCTCGGCTCAGAATGAAGCTGAGAGCCCTGCCCGGCGGCTTTTATTGGGGCTCGCCGGGGCAACACAATCCGGTTTCCCTGCGTCCCCATTGGTGAAAGTCAGCGTGTCCATCAGGCCTGGCGGGCTCCCTCATTGGCGAACGCAGGCGCGAGGCGAGCTCTCGGTCCTTCCGCGTTCGCAGCCAATCCCCGAGGGGTGGGCGGGGCGGGCGTGAGCCCAGCTCTGGTGGTAAATAGAGTACAGTAAGCGCTGGGCCGGAGGGGAGCGCAGGGGAGCGCAGGGGAGCGCAGGGGAGGGGGAGGATAGGGGAGGAGAGGAGCGGAGAAAAGCGAGAAGGCGGTCGCGGACAGGGTGGGGGAGGGGGAGACGGAGACCCCGGGAATCTAAATGTGCATCTTAATTCAACTCCCAGTGGCTAGGCAGGACCCTCCCCTTAAGGTGTCCCCCGATGAAGCCTCTACACCTCGGAGCTCTCAGCATCCCTAAAATCACAGCGACACAGGCTAGGTCTGCACAGCAGAGGGAAAGTCACCACCGTTCCCTGCGCCTCACGGAATGTCGTCAAGATAGAAAGCATTTCTGAAGAAAGTGAAAACGCAAATAAGTTTGCCATCGACAAGTGACTTTTGTAGAGTGAGTTCGGTCTCTTAAGATAAGGAAAAGCTTTGTAAAAAACAAAACCAAAAACACCCACGCGCGCATTCAGCGACAGGTTTAGTGTGGGATCGAGCAACCCGGAGTGACGCAGGAGGCATTATTGTAAACTCTGTAAAATGAGTACTTATTGGAAACCAGGCTGATCGCTAAGGAGCTCTGAGAGGCAAGACTCTGGGTTCCTTTTGTAGAACTGGGAAGGCTATTATAATGATCCTAGTAATCGGAAATCATTAGGAAAACTTGTATACTGAAGCGGTATTTATATACGCTGCCCTTGAGAGGCTGCTGATCTGTGTTCTGCAATGTAGGTGGCAAAGTAAGGTGACTAATTATGCACAAATCGTGATTTCTGGTGTCACATTCCAGCGCCTGCTGTATTTTTAAATTTGTGTATAGGTAGGTGGCCCCAGCTATTGGTCGATATCTGCACACTATTTAAGAAAAAAAATCTGTCAGGTACCAGGTTGGGAATCTTTTCAGCACCAGGACTGGAGGCCGCTTCAGTTTGCATATCCCCCGCCCCTTTTTTTTCTAAACATATTTTAAGACCTCATTCCTGCGGGCTAAATAAAAATAAAAGTTTGCAGTTATTTACTCAAATCCTTTTCAGTAAATTCACACATAATTCTAGCTTAACTGAAGACTACAGTAAATTAGTTGTGTGCTTTGAAAATCATATTTCTCTAGAATATGCTAGAAAATCTGACAAAAGATTATACTGGTAAGTTTACTTTTTGGTCTCAATCTCCATCCACCTCCTCTGCGTTTAAGAAAGAGGAAGAGGGCAGAACTGGAGAAAAAGCAAAGCTTAATAATGGGGATACAGTATTTTTTCCTTCAGTGAATGATTAATTCCTCGCCGGTGAGCCAGCTGGTCTGGTCTCGGACACCAGTTGCAGCCATGTGCCTGCCCCACGGCTTCTCTTTAGGGAGGGAGAGTTGGTGGCGCTAGGGTGGATGTCACTTTCAGAAAATCCAGCCACTTCAGTTTGGATGGAGATGGTGGTTTCCTGACCAGCAGAGAAATCTGCTCAGGGCCTGGCCGGGCAAAGGCTGCCTGCGACTCTGTTCCTGACAGTATTCCATTAACAACCTCTTCTCTGATATTAAGTCTGGAAGTGATTTCATACCCGAGTTCCCGACAGTTCGAGCCTTTTGATGTACTTTGTGTGCATGTGTTTCTGTCACATACGTGCCACAGTGGAACAGATTTTGTTTTGACACTATTTTGGTTCATGATGTTATACTTTGACTATTTTACAATAATAGCCAACGTAAACAAACATCTTTGGGATTCTCAAATTATTACTTGTGATTCTTGGACATTGCAGCTCTGAGATACTGACGCGTTCCTAGCTTTTTCCAAGGACACCGTATGTTAACATCCGTGCCAGCCTCATTATCCCTACAGTCAGGCTCTGGGCTGGTTCCTAATGAGCGTTGTGCAGGATTACTTTACACACTTGCAAAGCTGATTGAGGCACTGCCTTCTCCCATGATCGTTTTTGTACCCTGATGCAGTAAAATGGCTAAATATGGTTAAAGTTTTCTGGTGTTTCTTTCTTTAGCGGCCATGTCAGAGTCCAGTCAGCCTGATTGTGTTGAATTCGATTCGACTGGCACGCTACCCAGTTCTACGTTCATTTAAAGATCATTTTTAAGGGGATTATGAGGCTGTATAAGTCAATGATTAAAAAAAAAAAGGCTTGAATTACCAGTATGTCTGTGTCAGCAAACCCAATACGAAATTACCTTTAAAATTATGCTTTCATCGAGAAAACGGTGTTGGAGCATTTTCGGGGTGGGTTACAAAGCATTGAAAAATCTGTCAATTGGTGTCTCAGTGGGTTTGCATTTGAGGACTCTTAAAGCTGCAGAAAGGGCCCTGGATTTGCTGGATCCGTGGCGGGTGGGAAGGTGTGAATGGCTTCCGGTGGGGGGGTGGAGATGCAATTCTCCCCCCTACACACACACCCACTTAAAGCCACACGCCTGCCCTGGAAGTTCCCCTAACCTGGTTCCAGGGCTCACTCCCTCGGTCTCCACCCGGGGCTCGGCCGCCGGCTCCCAGCGCGTCCAGCCCCTCGCTGTGATCAGAAGCAGCTCCGGGCCGGGCGCACCGGGCCGGCTGGGCCGTCTTTGCAATCCCCGCGTGATGCAACTGGGGGCGGGAGGAGCCTGCGGGGGGCCGGGGGGGGCGGTCTCAAGGTCCTCCCTGCACATCTGGCACAATTGGGAGCGCTCGCCTTTCTTTCCCCCGGTTTTGTTCTCACAGCTGTGTCCATTCCGCCCGTGACCCCCCGAGTGATCCCTGACAGGTGATGAATTGGCAGCGGCGGCGGCGGCGGCAGCGCGAGGGCCAGGCCGCGGCGGGGCCGGAGCCGGAGCCCCGGAGCAGACTCTCTGGCGCCAGGCGCGTGACGCCGCCCATTCACGCCTCCCTGCAGCCTTGTCCTCGCGGCGCCGCTCAGGCGGCTGCCATGGCAACCGCGCCGTCACTCAGCGCGCGCGCCCAGCTGATCAATGCCTGCGAGGCCCGGCAGTCCCAGGCTCGCCCCGGCCGGGCCGCCCGGCCCGCGAGCACCTGCAGCCGCTGCACGTCTTAAGTTTCGAGCGATTTGGGGGAAGGAAGGACGACCGAGAAGAAAAGAAAAGGGGGGTTGGGGAGAGAAGAAAAAAAAAGCCGGGAGAGGGAGAAGAAAGAAATCTTCCTTGTGCAGAAGGAGGCGTAATGTGGCTTAGAGGTTGCCAAAGCAAAAAAAGGTTTTGCTTTATTTTATTTGTTTTTGCAACCGAGGCGTTCAGGGTGGGGCTGGCGCGAGGGTTAGGGCGGATGGGGAGAAGGTGACTGTCTTAGTGGATGTCGAGATTTATTTGTTCCTTTGGATCCTCGCGGGGATGACTTTGATGCTGGACTCCCCAAAATACCTTTGAAGGACCCCTCACCCCTGCACCCCTACTGTCCCCTGCCTTCCTCCTCGGAACCCTTGGAGGTTGTGCTAAAAACCCTCAGATTTTTCCAGAACAGCCCCCCACCCCGCCCCCCGGGAGGCGGGAGGATGTGCAGCCTGGTCCCGCGGCTCCCAGCCTCTGAGCGCAGCGGACCCGCGTCTGCGCCCTCATTACCACTACAAAGACGGGCAGGCTTAGCCCCTTCCCAATGCTGCGTTTTCAACAGGGAACATCAAGAGGCCAGAAAGTTCCAAGTCAGCCCGCGGACGCAGACGCCTCCTCGGTCCCGGCTTTATCTCTAGGGAAAGTTCCATTTTAAGAACCAGATGCCAATATTCCCGGACAGTTTATGGCATCCGGATCCCTCAAGGGTGCGCATCTGCAGTTTAGAGTGCTTGCAGCAATTATTTATCGTCTGTCCTGGAGAGGAGTTCCTGAACATGGATGTCCTCTGCTGGCCCCGAAACCGCGGGGGTGGGCCACTGCTGTTCCCGATGCTGTTATCTGGTTTAGCGGAGTTTGTTGTGGTTTTCGAGGAAACAGCATCTGGATTACATAAGGATTCAAGTTTTTGCTTTACTTGTTTATTTAATACCTTGGCAAGAGGGAGCCCTTACCCTGAAACCAGATAACCGAATTTGGGTTGAAAACAGCCTTAGATGAGGGGCAAAGAGAGGGGAAGAAAATGAGCAAAACCACAAAAAGCAAACAAGGGGATGTTTATTTTTCTCCCTTTGGGTAGTTTTGAAGACCTGCCTAACCTCTTCTCGTTCTTGTCGCACACAGCTAATAAATTGCACTAACAAAGCGCTTCAGCTACTACAATGGCTTAGCAGTCGTTCCTCCCCCGCGCCGCCGCCATCCCCATCCAGGCCCTAATTCCTTCTAGGATTCGCGCGCGGTCCTGTTTGCCCAGAGATCTCAAGAGCACCAGGAAAAACGCCTTGCTAAAGCCAATTGCTTTCAACCTTCTGATCTCCTTGTAGGGAGATCACCTTTCAGCCCCGTTCAAAGAAAGCAAAGTTTGGAAAGTTTGGCGGAGGGTCCGATTTAACTACCAGCACGGCAAATATTTAGTTACGAATGCTGTGAAGTGCCCCGATTTATGGGAGCGTTTAGCTTTCACAAAGGATATTCCTGTGGCTTTTGTTCCGGTCACCAAATTAAAAAAGAAAATTAACTTGAGCGAGAGATAAGGTCTTGCAAAACAATCCCGGGCCGCCCGCGAGCTGGCGGGCGCGGGG